TGTCCAATAGCCCGGGACTAGTGAAACGATCGGTCGGCCTAGCACCTTCTTATCACAGGTTGCCCAACAGGCAAGCAAGAGGTGGACATGAGTGAAAATATGTTGGGTATTTTTTTCCAAATGGCAAACTTCAGACGTTCTGTTTAGTAGACAGTTCGTGAGAGAATGTGAAGCAATACAAATCTTTTTTAAAGTAAAATGTACAATTTAAGCAACAGAAATCAATTAAATGATAATTTTTTCCCGACCATGTGTCCCGACAGAGTAGCGGTGGTGCAAGACAAAAGCTTGCCGTAACAAGGTTATCACATATTTACATTGTTGCCCATGTAGTTAATAGTTTGTTTAAGTTAGTTAGCAAGGTCAATTCAACACCATTTGTCTAGTTGTCTTGAAGCATATGTAACCATGGATAGCAAGGAGCACTGGAGCAGTAGCCAAGATTTCATTTGGTTATTCATAGAATGACTGAACAACGTTTCACGTACATGAAACGTGTGACAAGTTACAAACACTAAGGCTCAAACTGAATTTACTATCATTTACAAACTACAAAGAGAAAGAGTATGACTTTATTGATGTATTCCTTTCCTGAAAGAAAAATCTAAGCAATATTTGGCAAAACAGCTGTTTTGAAAAACATGTTGCGTGACAACTTTACTTTCCACATGTGTAATGTAATTCCATATGTTGTTTTGACTATGCATAAAGTAAAACTTCGATTGGGTTGTTTAAAACAGCTTAAATTTTCAGACAAGTGCTTTCTTAGATTCTCATACGAAAACTTCTTTGAATGAAGAAAAGTCAGCTGCTATGCCATTTTGGAGTGAAGCACTTCTAAGTCAGTTGTTACTTCAAACACATTTTTAACATAAAATGAAGTTACATCTAGAATCTTCCACGGTCACTTTTTGGAAACTAAATCTCAGAGCCTTAATCTTTCATTACCCAGCAGCTTTGATCTTGACCCAGCAAATATCCTCATAAATGATGTACAATTAAATAGTGTACATTGTGTGACCAAATCAAGGTTTCCCATTGTTTGTGAAAATATGCCGCCTTGCATCTCCGTCTGCAATATATGAATTTTATTACAGTACCAAGGGGATTAAAATAAATGACTTAAGTGTTGTTCTTTGTGGATATGGAATTTTCAAGGGGTAGGGGAACCCAAGTAGAAAAATCATGGAAATTCCAGGAGGTGGGGGGAGTACCGTGAGCCCCCTGGAATGGAAAATCCTGCAAGGTGGAGGATCAAACTGGACCCCCCCCTTCCGAGTGGGCACCTAAATTTTAGGTGCCCACCATGTTTAGGTGCCCAAGTGGGCACCTAAACATGGAGTTTTCATTCCCATCTAATCTGTCTGATGACTTCAATCTTCTCATGAAATCGGTCAAAAAATCATTCACGCAATAAATTAAATGGAAAGCAATAGTACTCTGGTCCTGTTTTGCTTTTAACACCAGAAATATGGGCCAAAATGCGGCAACAAAGTCTCTCTCCGCTCACAAAACAGCCGAAAACAGCCATATTTGAATTTCACCCTAAAATGCATTGCAAGCTCAGTATTGAATAAATGTACGTCATGTATGCCAATGGATTGTGTCTCTGTTGATGCCCTACTTTGGTAACAAATATTTTTGGAATTGGAGTGATGTGGCTACTGACATTATATTTACAGTTGAATAAAGATAAATGTCTCTAAATTCTTGGGCTTTTTTTGTGTGATACTTTGGAAAACTTCATCTAGCTGTACTGAATGAATTTCTGTAGTTTCTGAAAGGATATTTACCACTTAAAAGTCGAAATATTCAAGTAGCTAGCCAGCAAAAAGAAAACATCATTGCAATTCTTTTTGCATACTAGGGTTTTATATTTTAAATTTTCCAACAAATTTTTGCAACTCCACCCAATATACGAGAATATATTTTCTCCAAAGAAGCAGCCAATTCTCGTTTTTCACCAAAAACTAAAAATCGTAACCATTCAATAAATAATCAACAATGATTTAGATAAACATATACAGGCAAAAACTAACGATAGACAAATC